TCGGTACGGTAAAGCAACGACCGGTACGGTAAACCGAGTCAAACTCACAGGAAACCGGCTGGGTGGTAATGATCAGTTCCCTAAATGAAAGCTGTTATCAAGTTGTCAGTGAAACCTTAGTATTACTCAAATGAGCTAGTTAGGCAAGTGACTGAAATCAAACTGGTCGGTTTCCCGCGGGGCACCGCCAATGCTCGGGAAGTTGGGATAAGCTCCTTGGCCGCCCGAGGGTCACCACCAACACAGGCACTTTACCCCGGCTTAACGGGGGTAAACATGCGCTCATTGTTCATTACCAGTTTGATTTTGGTCATTTCCCTTACGCATATTATTATAAATATATACAAAACATCTGTTTATGAGCAATCCCTGATACCTACAGCTAGACAATAACATAAAAGTCTCACCTATCTCATCCAGGTTAAGATTCGCCACGTTCGTCAATCCGGGAAAGAAAACACTGCCATATCCTTCTCTGCCGACAGCAAAGTCTTCCACAAAACAATCGCCATTATTTAGCAACTCTGCTAACTCAGCCATCCCTGGGATGGTATAGTATCCTGATCTACGAAGAACGATGCCTGCAGGATGTGGAGCCATATCCAAGTCTTCATCCTCATCTTCACTGGCATGCGATTCAACAGTTTCGTTCAAACTTGATTCAATATCTGACGTCTGTGTTGGTTGTATTGGTGGTTGTTGCGACTTGGTTTTGTTTTTCACATTCAAGGCAGAGATAGTACAATCCAAGTTGGCATTCTCTCCAGAGCTATTGAGAGAAATATTTGTATAAAACTGAAAATAAATATTTGCAACAAATGCATTAAAAAGAAATCACACAAATTGACTTTTTTAAAGTTGCAAATGTGAGATCATTCCCTCAAGCATTATTTGAGCCCCGAATTCAACTTTAATCACCAATCATAATTTTTTTATAATTTTCTAAAATTTTGATCAAAAAATGGCAAAATGCACCAATATTTTTTCAGGGAAACATGATGCCACTCAGAGCATTACTGTCACCACCATATTGTTCCGAACACCAAAACAGCAACATTTGCCAGCTAAGCAAAGTCATTTGAAATAGATTAAAATAGTCATTTATGAAGAAAGTGACAACTTACATAAGTGGACTATTAACACTCCTTGGTGTTTTCATAAAGTCATTAGGAGTTTGTCTAATATCAATAACACTGTAAGAATGTAAACCAGAATTAGTGAAGTGTGGTGGAGTAGCAATAAAATGTTGTGATACGTTTTCAATGTTTTTATGTTGTGTTGTGTTGCGTTGCGTTAAGATATGTGGCACACTCAACATGTGAAAAAATCATTGTTTACAGATTGTTTAGGTCAAGCAAGTAGAACATCTGTAGTAAATGAAAATGTTGTTTTTGTTGAGTTTCTGAACGTTAAGCATAAAATCACTCATGAAAATGGACATTCACTATCTCTCAATTTTGGGAATTACAACATTACAGTACAAACAATGCATCTTGAAGTGCTCCAAAACAAGAAACTGAAACACAAATGTGATTTCAATCATGATAAAAACTTACTCAGCATCTCTTCTTTCATTTTCTGTTTCATCTGGATATTCACTTTGTGGTGCAATCAACTCTTCTTCAATTGCTATGGATGGCCTCTGTACTGCCATGCTCTGAAAATAAATAAAAGTGCATTATTTTATTAATAGTGAATCCTGTGCTCTTGTCAGAAATCAGATTAAGCATACTGATAGTAACCATGTGCTCATCGTGTTAACCATGTGCTCATCGTGTGTTAACCATGTGCTCATCGTGTGTTAACCATGTGCTCATCGTGTGTTAACCATGTGCTCATCGTGTGTTAACCATGTGCTCATCGTGTGTTAACCATGTGCTCATCGTGTGTTAACCATGTGCTCATCATGTGTTAACCATGTGCTCATCGTGTGTTAACCATGTGCTCATCGTGTGTTAACCATGTGCGCATCGTGTGTTAACTCGGTCAACAGGTATCCACAAAAAATACTTACTGGAGAGAGGCTGTTCTTAATAACCAACTTTTTGATGTTTTTTCTTGGGATAAATATATCTGAGCTGAGAGCAGTGTCTTCATCATCCAGACCATCAAATAACTGTTGCTGTGAACAGATTAAGATTATTATTTTTATTTCTTATATAGCGCATTACATAAAACATATAATCTCAATGCACTTTACTTAAAAAATAGTTATAAAAAATTACATTATTTAGAAAAATAAGATTTGAATATCATTGCACGCCCTGATGTCTTACCTTTCCAGCTATCGAGTAGAGAGGCTTGGCTTTTATTTTAGCAGTAGGTCTCACAGATAATTTGTAATGTGATGGAGTAGTCAACGCTTTTTGAGCTGCTGAACTGGTTGGTTTTAGTATCTCCTCTTTCCTACTGGAATCCTGAAAAGAATAACGTCAATGTTACACTTGGCATGCAAAATGAATGAGTAGACTATCAAATTGGTTGTATAGTTATTAGGGAGCATCTAGTACAGGAAAATGAGTAATCATACATTCTTTGCATATTCAGTATAAATGCCTTTGCAATCTTAATTGTAAATTTTTGTT